ACAGTTCTTTTGTTGTTGGAATTACTAGAATGTCTACACCATATGTTTCTATTTTGCCAAACTTTGATTCATAGGATGCTTCATCTCCTTCTGTTGAGAAGGACCTTCTCGTCTTCTCTCGCAAGCGGTTACGTCCTCCATCTCCTACACCTGTGACTCTCCTTCCTCTCGGTTCAGATAATCATCTTACCATTACTCCTATAAGTGATACCTCTACTTCAAATACTCCTCATACTTTTGTTCCTCTTTGTCGTTCTACTTGTATATCTAGACCTCCTGACCACTATGGTTTCCCTTTAAACCATAGCTCTTTGTTTGTTGTTCTATCTTCCACAGATATTCCTTGCTCCTACCAGGAAGCCAATAGTAGCCCCTCATAGGAAGGAATCCATGGATGCAGAGATTCATGCTTTGCATGAAAATGACACTTGGGACCTTGTGCCTACTCCTCTAGATGCCTCCATTGTTGGGAGTCGTTGGGTTTACAACATTAAGCTGAAATCTTATGGATCTCTTGATCGATACAAAACTCGTTTGGTTGCCCAGGGATATAGTCAGGAGTATGGCACCAACTATGAAGAAACCTTTGCTCCTGTTGCAAAGATCACCATTGTCCGTGTTCTCTTAGCTTTGTCTGCTGCCCAATCTTGGACCATATGTCAACTTGATGTGAAGAATGCCTTTCTTCATAGTCAGTTGAAGGAGACGGTCTACATGAAGCCCCCTCCTGGATACTGCAGTGATTATTCTTTAGTATGTCACCTAAAAAAATCTCTATATGGTCTAAAATAGGCTCCTCGGGAATGGTTTGAACGCTTTTGAGATGTTGTAGTTGTTGTTGGATATAGCCAAAGTTTCTCTAATCACTCTCTCTTTGTTAGGTGACGGCCTCAAGGTATTACCATTCTCCTGTTGTATGTTGATGACATGTTGACTGGGAATGATGCTGAGGGTATTCGTGAATTGAAATTGTTACTTCATAATTCCTTTCACATGAAGGACTTGGGCCCTCTCACCTATTTCCTAGGATTGGAAGTTCATCATAGTGATCAAGGGTATTTTGTTTGTTAGCAGAAATATGCCTATGACCTTGTTAAGCTTGCCAATATTAATGAGGAAAAGCATGTCGATACACCTATGAAGCTAAATCTTAAGTTATCTAAATCTAAAGGTCCATTGCTTCCTGATGTTGCCTTGTATCGCCAACTTGTGGGGTCCCTCATTTATCTCACTATGACTCAGCCTGATATTTCTCACGCTGTTCAGGTTTTTAGTCAATTTGTTTCTTCTCCTCGTCAGCCTCATATGACTATTGTTCATCGCATCATTCGATATGTTAGAGGCACAACTTCTCAAGGACTGCTCTTCTCCTCCTCTCCTATTCAATTGAGAGCATATGCTGATGCAGATTGGGCTGATAGGTCTACTTCTGGGTGGTGTATCTTTATGGGTGATTCACTCATCTCTTGGAAGTGTAAGAAACAACAAATAGTCTCCAAATCTTCCACTGAAGCAGAGTATAAGGCAATGTCTTTTGTTTGCAGTGAGATTGTTTGGTTACGATTTCTCTTTATGGATCTTGACATTCAACTTCCTACTCCTATTCCTCTCTATGCAGACCACACGAGTGCTATCAAGATTGCATCTAATCTTGTCTTCCATGAAAGGACCAATCACATCGAGGTGGACTGCTTATCCGAGATCTTTTCACTGCTGGGTCTATATCACTTCCTCATGTAGCCTCGAACATGCAAATTGCTGATATCTTCACCAAGGTTATGACTAGAGTTCAACATCTCTTTCTTATAGACAAACTGATGCTTATGTTTAGGCATCAGTTTGAGGGGGAATGCAGAGATTCTATGACTTAATGTATCTTATTAGTATAGTCCCTGTTGTATATTACTTATATATCTTATTCTTTTTTCTCTTTCAGCCCTATATGGGCATTTTGTAATTGTACATATCTTTTAATATATAAGAGACTCTTTGAGGTGGGGGTCATTTATTCTTGACACCTCCAAGATTATTTTTGTTCTTTTCTCTATTCAGCCAAGGGTGTTGACAAATCGAAATCTGATTCAAGTCTCATTTGATTAAGGTGGATCAAGAACCAACAAACAAATTTCTTGTGGGCTTTAAGTTCAGTCATTTTTATAATCATCGGGATAGAATTATGTGGGATGATAGCTCTATTTGTTGATCTTGTTTCTGTTCTCATGTGGTTTGTGTTGTCTGCTTTATATTGAGGGAAGCTCTCTCTTGGATTCCTTTTTATCATTTAATGGATATTCATCGTTCATCTTTCAAAAAAGGTACCAATTAGACATCCAGTGGATCAAATCAGGTTTTCATTTTGATATCTGTTTACCGTCTAGTGAATTAACCAAACTATAATATAGGTTTGTCCAATTTATAAAAGGTTTATATATACATAGTAAGAAGAGTAGACTTTCTAAACATTTTTTCAGAAATATCTTCAATACAGAATGGTTGGTATGTTCACTGAACATAAATCCAGAATTGTATTTGACTTAAGGTATCAATGTTCTCAAAACATAAATTACTTAACAACTAGTCAATTGGCCAGTCACTTGAGGACCATATCAACTGTATCTTATCTATTTGTTTAATACCCATGATGCAGTAGACTAGATGATTTAGAATTAACTAGGTTGAGTAATTCAACTAAGAACTAGTATGCCAACAATGGCAATTAGTTTAAGTAGGTATGCCAACAATCCATTACGTAAATGCCTTTTACTTTGTTATATGTATGGCAATTAGTTTAAGTAGGTATGCTAGCATGTGGTTGGGGTGAAGGTAGAGAAGTTGAAAAAGGCACAAAAATGAAAAGAAAGAGTGACAGAGGAAATTTTTTAGGTCTTCTTCCAATATGTGAGGTATTGTTGTAAAGAAGTTGGCACAAACAATATGATCACATCGGACAGTCAAAATCTGTCTTACCTTTTTTATATTTACAGCACATCAAACTTACATTTTTCATATTTAAAAGGCAGGGAAATGTGTGCTACATGCTCTATATCTTTTTTATTGCATATTTGTAGTCTTTTTTTTATAAATGACAGAAATATTTTATTAAAATGATACTTTTTTGTTTTTTATCAAAATACAATGACAATATTACAACTGAAGCTGAAATCCCCAAAAGATGGTAGTTAGCCACAGCTAACCAGTAACCACCATACATTTAATGTCCAAAAATACATTAAACACCCCTACCCATTTTAGATTTACAATTGGGCACAAAATTCTGAAGGGGAAAAGTCAACTAAGCCTGGACCCATATTCTAAATGAGATAATCAACTCAACAAAATTTTATCCCAACTGCATAATGTTGGCAACATGAATCTTGTTTCACCATCCTGCAATGGTCTTAATTTCTTCTTCTTCAAGTATCTTCTCTAACCTTTGCACTTTATTCAAGGAAGAGCACCCACTCCTGTCCCTTTTACACTTGATCTTCCATTACCTTATGAGCATGATCCTTAGAAATAATCATCAGCATCTTTTCAATCTCACTTTCATTAGTCATAATTGTATATCCCAGAATTCAATAAATTGGAAAGAAAATATTTTCCTTCCTTTCAGTATAATATGAAAAAAAAGGTATTTTTCTGTCCATTTATTTTTAGAATCAATTTACCTCTTCTCTTCTAAAGACTTCTTCATGCTACTGTTCTAATATCCAACCCTCAAAATTTCTTCAGGCTCTAGGGGTGTTGTTCTACCATCTAACTAAAATTTTCAACTTTCTGTCCTGAAGAAAGAAACACTCCTATCAACATTTTCAACTTGGATGATAAACTGGAGACTCTTTATAGGCCTGAAACTTATAAATATACTTGCCTCCTTTAGTTCTCCAATATACTTTTTTTTTCTTTAACAGAGTAATGATGCATTGAGATATTGATTGGGCAATGACCAAACATAGATCTAATGCCCTGATAAAACTTGTTAAGAGTGTTTCAACCTTCTAACAGACACCAGGAAGATATCTAATTTGCAACAGATTGGAATTGCTTCTAAAGAGACCAACTGAAACTAATAGTGAGCAAATCAGATCCTTGAGACTGAAGATGCTTTCTGACCCAAACTCTTCAGTATCCCTCCATCTATGGTTATTCTACTACCACAATTGTTCTCATGATACAAATCTTATGACTGAAGTTATGCTCTATGCAACCGAAGTGCAGGAAGCATGTAGTTAAGCTCTTACCAAACTGCACCCCACCCTAACCCCCTCTATCACTGAGATTCAAGAACACTGCTGCAATTAGCATCCCATTGAAAACCATTAACAATTATTTTCAATCTGAGCTGAATGGAGTAGCTTACCAGTTACCATTAGCCCACCCAAGCAAGATACTACTCTAAGCCCCACATCACAATCAACAGCGTGCAAAACCAAGTGATGGATACAAAACCCATCTTACATCCTTTATACTCCAGGTACTAGAGAGGACATTTTATCCACTTCAGCCACCATTAGACACAATCAAACCCCATAGAAGATGTTGTCAAAGTTCCTTTAGTCTAGGTTTACAATTTGACTCCACTCGATCTTGATTAACATTTTATGATTGATACGATGGCTAGAGAATACAATACCCTAGTTTCAATTTATAACCAATTCCTAAATTCATTACATTATATTCTCTAATTCACTAACTTCATAAGGCCATTTCTCTGTACCATGAAACAATTACGTTCAACGATAAATCCATTTTTCAGTTTACTATCTAATATTGATCCTATTCTTATATCTTCAATTAATCCTCTCGTTTACCATTTAAAATAAAGGGAAAAAAGACATCCCATTCCATGTTTTAATTTAGCATATAGATCTTGGTCATTAGCATATAAAACAACGATAACTGAGCTACAACTGAACAATAGAATACAACATAAATGGACCAAAAAGAAGCGCACCGATTAATCTTCGACATTTTAACGAATTTCCTATAAAAAAACTTACGTTTTTCTTAAGAGCTTGATCCGAGGCTTCACCGTCTTCAACATCGGGCACAAAGGTAGGTGGAACATGCCCTGGATCAATGAGAACACAAGCAGCAAAGGAGACGAGCCACATGAAAGCTAAAGAACTGAAGATCAACGCATTCAAGATACCAACAGGACTTTTCAATCCCAACCAATCTTCGATGAAAACGAAAACCGTGGTGTAATAAATGAAACCGACCAAGAAAAGAACTGATAAAACCGGAACAGATAGGAGTCTTTTGCACTTCATCGATTTACTTCTCTGAAAATAGAAGAAGAGAAATGGTTGGATGATATAGCAAATGTCCTTTTGTCCTCAATTCCCAAATCACCAGAAATTGGAAACGCTCTGTAAAAGATTTGCAATTGAAGAAATGAACAATTGAAGCTCGGTCTACAAATCGAAAATTGAAACTTTGAAAGTTGGTAATTTCATATTTTCCTCCTTCCTCGTTTTCTTACGAACTTCAGCGATTCCAATCAGACCAGACGGTTGGACCGGGAGAACTATTAGCCGAATAAAAAATGAGTTCATACACCCAATGTCTTTACAATGGGAATTACGATGGTGTGTCAGTCTAAATGTAGTAGTGTTACATGCATTAGGCCTGTCAACGGGTCGGGTCCAGTACAACCGGAATTAATCTGACAAGAATAATCAGTACTCGGGTCGGGTCCAGTACTCGGAGCGGAATCGACCGACCCGATGGGATCTGTAATTTTAGACTTAGAGTCGAATTATAATCAGGTTTGACCTAATCGATTGTCAGAATAATCAGGTTTGACCCAATAGATCCCATTATAATAAATCTACAAAACATATTATATATAATAATAACTTATTTAATATATTACTAGCGGGGGAGCCCTGCTTCGAGGGGCAAAATGGAATAAAAAATAGATCGAACTATTTGGTTTCTTTAATAAAGTAACAGAATGCCTTGTGCTCAGATGGAGTTAAATTCAAGTTCTTGATTCATTCTATAAAATCAAGTTCGAAGTGTAAGAGAGGCAACATAAAAAAACGTTAAAATGGATTTTGATAATTTTAAACTTGGACTCTTCATATTATTTGATAATTTGAAGTAATTATCATCCTAAGTTCGACTAATTTCTGGAATTTAATGGTTATTTTTACAAAGTTATACTAACTTCATATATTTTATCATATTTTATGGAAATTAATGGTTATTTTTCCCTAAGCTAGTTCTACTAATTTCTGGTCATTTCTATTATATAATAATTTATGATAATTTTTGGTAAAAATAATATTTTATGGAAATTAGTGGTTAATTTTGGCTAAGTTCTACTAATTTCTGGTAATTTCTATTATACTAATTTATGAGAATTCTTGGCCAATATATACTTATTTTTTATACTTATTATATGATAGTTTATTGGTCAATTAGTGGAAATTAGTTCTCTTATATAATTTCGACTAATTTCTGGCAATGTCTATTATATACTAATTTCTTGGTAAATATATACTAATGTATTATATTTATTATATGATAGTTTATTGGTAAGTCCTAGTAATTTATCGATTTTATGGAGTTTAGTGGCTATTTTTGGACATTTCTACTAATTTATGATGATTTTTGGCAAATTATTTTAATGTATTTAGGATTATATTATTTGATAATTTCAAGTAATTATCATCCTAAAGTCTACTAATTTGTGATAATTTCTTTTGATTTATTTTTAGTAATTTTTTATAAATATTGGTAAATTTATGTCTAATAATGGTAATTCCTTTGAATTTGTATAATTATTTGACAATTTTAGGTATAAAATTTATCAAATTTAAAAAAAAAAATCAAATAACAACAATTTTAACTTACAATATGTAACAATCTTCTAAGCACTAAATCTATAAAATGTAAACAAAAGCAATTCAAGGTTCAAAGTATCAATACGTATCGACCAATACATATCGTGCCGATAGCTTCTCAATATGCCCCTATAGAGGTTGTATCGGGTCAGTCACTGGTTTAGAGGGTAGCCAAGCTTTAAACCGGCCCCTCTGAACTGATTTCGAAAAAAAAAGTAAGTAAAACATAAAAAAAAGCATCGACACAGGGCATATCGGTCCGTATCGATATTTAGAACCTTAAAGCAATTCATTAAAACCAACATTGGTTCTTGCACTTTGACTGCATAAAGCATGTAGTTAAGCTCTGTTATGTTTTTTGCTTTTTCAAAAATCATAATTATTTTTCTGTTTATTTTGGGTAAATTACTTAAACCTCCCTTTTGATTCCTATTGCTTTTTGCTTGTCTTCAACTATGATCTCTGTAAGGATTTGTTTGATTCACCAAAATAGGAAATCGGAATCAGAAAAGCCTTCCTATTCCGGCCATTTGGTTGGTCAGTATGATTGATGTTGAAGAATATTTTTTGGCAACAACATTGAATAATAAAAAAATATGGAATTTATTTTTTTACAACAAATATCAATGGAATTTAGGTTGTGTTTGGTTGTAATGCAAATAAATTTGCACTGATGCAAAACTGTAACTGTGATAATGCAAAAGATTTTAGTGTAAATTCTGATCTATTTTTGTTTCAAATTTTAACTTATTTTTATTTGATTACATTACAAATAAAATAAATTAAGATATGAAACAAAATAAAGTAAAACCCAAAATAAAATTAAATAATAATTTGCATTTTTTTCATTTGTACACTCATGCATTTGTACTAGTACAAATAAAATTGCACTGCAACCAAACACAGCCTTTAATGAAAAAAAAAATTGTATATTATTAGAATTTGAGTGACGTTGAAGACTATTTTATCAACATGGAATTTAATTGTTGAAGTTCTTGTTAATGGATATATAAATAATCACATTAGTTCCTCTTTAATAGAGTAACGTTGTTACTCTTTAAATTGTTGATGTTGTTCCTATTTAATTCGGGTTTGAATAGTTCAGATTTCTATTTTATTTGTTTATCTTATGATGTGCTTTTATTTTTCTTTTTATTTCAATGTTATCTCTACATATGTATTTGTCAACAAATTGCCCCAATGTATGCATCTATTTAATATATATATATATATAATGAAAATCCAAGTTTTGAATTTTTTTTCAAGGGAAAAATTGGAAATTTTGGTTGATTCCAATTCTAACTTCCAAATAAAACAAATAGCAGCAATCATTAGAATTCCAAATTTTTTAGAATATCCTTATGATTTAGCTAATTGACTAAGTGTACATTTACTGTTTGAAAATTGATTGACGCTACCTTTACTTTGTTTCTGACAATTAATTAACTCTATCCTTATCGTTAATATCCATTAATATTCCATCAAAACTCGTATACACATGACATATAATTTTTTTAAAATCCAATTTTACCCTTATCATCTTATTCCTTTCAGGAGCAGCAAAATTGAGTTGGCCGGTCCCTACATCAAGAGCAAAAGAAAACTTGAACATTGCGATTGGAGAGACATTGTTGAGGGAATTGAAATTAAAAGAAGATAAAAAGGATTATTTAAAGTCAAACGGAGAGGAAAAGCACCGTATGCCAGACTCCCAACAACCAGTTCTCTCATAAAAGGTAACGCCATGATTCTGTGAGCTTCTAGACCTTGGCCCTCACCGGCTCTTCTTTATGGGCTGGGAAATTTCCGTGGGTCTACCGGCAGCAAGAGGTTCCAACTGACAAAATTTGACGTCAACCCAGTGAGCTCGTCATCAAACTCGTTTTCCAAATCATCACGGCTCCATGGATTCAGATCAATTAGGGGCTCCCTCTCCCGTTCGAATAAAATCCCATTGTCACTTTCTTCTTCTAGTAACAATTCTATTTTGGATTCTCTTCCTGTTGTTGTTTATTCCCTTTTTAGTCTTCATCATTTGTCAAAATCTTACTATAAATGAACACTAGAGAGAGAGAAAGATAGATAGAAAGAGAGTGAGAGAGAGAGGAGAGCAAAAATAAGAAAGATTTCAAAAGCACCTTGATGAGGGAATTTGGGTTTTGTGTTTGTATGTGGAAAAACAGGCTTAAGAGGTTTGCTTCCTTGAACAGTATGAAGTTCACCAGGGTAAGTCTTCTTCGGTTTTGGTTTCTTCAAGAGCTCTTCTGGGAATGAGAGAAGAATGCCTGGGTAGACTGAGATTATTCTGAGAAAGGAAACTACTACTGCCGCTGGTTTGAGTTGCAGCGGCAGTGGCAAAACAAGGGAGAGAGAAAAAAGAAAAAGAAAAATAAGAGGAATGAGGGAGAAAGGAAGTTTCTACCGCCACTGGTTCGAGTTGCAGTGGTGGCGGTGGTTGTGCGTCCTTGGAACAGGTCAAAACAGTAATGACGGTATAAGGGAAACCCTAAATCTTTGAATTTGATTTAAAGGCAAAACGGGTATTTTATCCCTTCTGTTAATATTTTAATAGCGATGGTAATTTTTTAAAACAGTAGGGATAGCGTCAATTAATTTTCAAACAGTAAGGGTACACTTAGTCAATTAGCTAAACCATAAGGGTAGTTTAAGAAATTTACCCTTGAATCAAATAAGCATATTGGGAATAGGCTATTCCAATTCCAATTCTAGGGGATTTTGATTCTGATTCAAATTTCGATCTTAACCTCAAACCAAACCAATGGGACTTTAAATTTATCTCTCAATGTGCTCAATATCAATACAACAAAGACCTCCTTCAGTTAGGAAATGGGATTTCCTTGAAGCAAAATCGACACCCTGAGAGCACACAACAAGCCATACATGACACATCGAGACATATCTCATGAATTTAACCATTCTGATGTGTGACTGGTTGTGCCTTTTGGGTGTTTGCATGGTTTTTGCCTTTAAGAGATTCACGCTCTTTGGATAGTTCTTGTAGATGTAGAGCATAAAATTACACTTACCTTTGTGGCTTTGTTTAGGTAGAAAAGTACAATTTTCTCTTAGGCTCAGTTTGAAAAGAGTATAAATACAAATATATACAGTATAAATACATACAAAATACATGATTTTGCACTCTACACATTTGTATTTGTACTCTTTTCAAGTTTAGAAAGAATACAAATACAAATATGTATAGTACAAATACATAGAAAATAATACAAAATACAAGACTTTGGCACTCTACATATTTATATTTGTACTCCTTCCAAACTGAGCATAAGGTACTCCTTCCAAACTGAGCCGTATGCTCAATGTGGAAAAGGTACAAATACATACAAAATAATATAAAATATAAGGTTTTGCACTCTATATATTTGTATTTGTAGTCCTTCCAAAATTGAGCATTAGCAATGTTACCCTTCGATTAGATTAAGTAATGCCTCTATTGTGCACTCAACCAAATGAACAATGCCTTTCACTTAAGTATGTAAACCAACCTTTTGGGGGTATTTTGATCAATAGTAAGGATGAGCATGGGTCGGTTCGGTTAAGTTCCATGGCAAAACTTGGAACCTTCCTTGTAGGGGTCGGTTCTAGGTTTTTGGAACCGGAACCTACCCTACGAAGGTTGGTTCTAAGGTTAGTTCTGTCCTTAGTGGT